AGAGCCTTATTTTGCTGTCTATCTGATAACTGGGGGTGTGGGGTGGGACTCCCCTCAAAGTTATCCCTGCCACTAGGGAGCATTCACTCTGCTGTCAACTCATACATGTTGATTAATTTCAAAAAACACAGGGACACACCGCCCCCCCACCCCGTCCCCCGTTTTTCTCCTTGTCTTTTACAGTGAACGAAGAGCTCAGTATATGACTTCATACGCATTTGTCATCAGTTAGTGTGGTAGGCATGTTGCGTGAGGAGAGCGGATGATATCATGACACTGTATAGGAAAATATTAATATAGGTGCTCATTAACATATTTTTCAGACAGAGCAATCTTGACTTTAAAGCTTTCTCATTTGATCCAGGTACCTTTTTCGAGTCCAGTACTCTGCTACTTTGTCTCTTTGCCAGGGCCGTGCTCAAGTCATCCAGTCTTGTATTTGCTCATTAAACACTGAATGTAGACCTACTATGTGCCTGGCAGTATTGCTGTGTGCCGGGTCAGCATAGACTTAGGACTCATCATTGAGCAGATTTCAATGACCAAAGGGAAATCACAGTCTTGCTCGTGTGTGTGTGTGTGTGTGTGTGTGTGTGTGTGCGCGTGCGTGTGCGTGGCCGTCAGAGGATGTGTTAAGCAGCCGGTCCGCGATGTTCTCCACTCTCTTGTCTTTGCTACCCGGCCCTGCTGCATTCTCCAGGCTATCTTACCTGTAAGCTTTAGACAGTTCTGTTTCCCATAGTGCTGAGGCTACGCATGTGTCCCCCGAGCCTGAGCTTGCATGGCTGGCCGTTTTACCCTCTGAGCTCTCTCTCCAGCCTCAGCCTTCCCTCCCAAAGTGAACAGAGGCCAAAAAGGAGACATTTCCCCGTGGCATACGAAGTCTAAGAATTACTCCTGGCTTCCTGCCTCCCACCTCAGTGTGGTCTCATACTTGATGGGTTTTGTTTTTTCTAACAGGTTTGAGAAGTAAGTAGCTCACTGAAGGGGAGGTGCAGGGGAGGGGACTGAGGTCTGCCTCGCTGCTGCAGCTGAGAACTGTGGTCCATGGTGTTGGAGAGGGAGGGCCAGTCAGTCATTCTTCCTTGCTGATGGTGGGGAGGGAAGAGAGGAAGAGCCCCGCCTAAGGGGGCCACCGGACTCTTCTGATGCACTTGGCCAGGCCCTGCCGGGTTGTTTTAAGATGTGGCATCCAGGCGTTTATCTTTTTCATTCTGTCTGTGTCTCAGAGTTCCAGTGACTTCCTTCTCTTGGTCTGTGGATCATGGCCACACACCACTGCACCTGGCTTAGAGTGTCCTTTATCAGGCTTTGGGAGGGCGAATTCTCTCAGCAGGCCCAACGGGCTTTGTGTGGAAGAAGGTTGGTCCTTCCGCATGACCTGCCTGGGTTGTGTGTGTGTTCACACAGCCTTCCCCTCTTTACCCACACGTGTCTGCCAGTCCATGTTCATGCATGGTTCCCGGCCCATACACCACAAATGCAGACAGGCTGCTACAGTTGCCTTCGAAAGGGCTTAGATAAGTGGGTGGGGGCATCTCCATCCTTGCTGGAGAGTCATTTCTCTGCGGCTTTGAGGCTGTGGCTTTTCACGCCGTATGTATGATGCCCCACAAGACACTTGTTTTCCGAGGACCCCGCTCTGAACTGTCTGACAAGAGGTTTAATTTCTAGGTTTTGATCTATATTGTGAGCCCCCCATCTCTCTCCTCGAAAGATGTCTGACCTTTTAATATTCTCTCTCTCCCTCTGTCTCAGTCGGTCAGTCAGTCAGTCGTCAGTATGTCTGTCCACCTGGCTCTCTGTGGTGCTGTGGTTTGAACCCAGGGTTTTGCCCATGCTAGACAGAATTCTACCACTGAACCATATTCTCAGCTTCCTTTGTGTGTGTGTGTTTATATGTCTACAGGTACATGTGTGGGTGTGTGGATGTACATGTGTGCTTATGTGCTTATTTATGCATGTGGAGGCCAGGGCACAACTGGTGTCATTCATTGGGTGCCATTCACCTTTTAAAACAATGAAAAAAAATCTGTATATGGTTTTGTCTGCATCTACACCTGCGCACCAGGTATGCCCCTGATGCTGGTGGAGGCTGGAAGAAGGCATCAGTTCACCAGGAGCTGGAGTTACAGGTGCTTATGAGCTGCTGAGACTTGAGCCCCAGTCCTGGGAGAGCAGGAAAATGCTCTTAACCACTGAGCCGCCTCTTTAGCCTCTGACCTCTTGTCTTATTGAGACACGATCTCTTACTGGCCTTGAACTTGCCAAGCAGCCAGGCTGGGGGGCCACAGAGCATCAGAGATCCTGCAGTCTGCCACCCAGCACTGATGTGTTTATGCCGCCATGCTTGGTATTATTATTATTAATAATAATATTATTATTAATATTTAAAATGTGGAGATTGAACTCAGGTTCTCATGTTTCCAATGCAAACATGTTATCTGCCATGCCTGGCACACAGGTTTCACTAAGGTACCCGGGTCACTAAGGTACCTGGCCTTGCTCACCTGTAGCCCAGGCAGGTCCTCCTCCTGTGATCCTCCTGCCTCAGCTTCCTGACTAACTCTGGGATTACAGGCCTGTGCTGTCAGCTCTAGCACATGTGGCCAGCTTTGAGCATGGTAGAGTTTTAAAGATGAATCTTATTTTATAGTACAGAAATTCAAAAATCATAATTACTTCACCGAGGGTGGCTCCTAACCCTCCATTAATCATCCTCCTCACGCAGAAATGGAATTCTATTTTAGTCTCCTACAGATAAATTAGTATATAGGGGAAAGGGAACTTGACTTCTGCGAGGAATTAAATGCTGCGATGGAATTAACACAAACATTCACCTTGGTGTGTCTGCGCCTTGTACAGCAGAGGCTCCAGTGCAGATATGGCTACATCTCAGTCCAGTAAGACCAGCCACGAGCGTGCACTGCACAGCAGTCTCAGGAAGGAGAGACAGGAGAGTCATAAGTTGGAGGCTAACTGCCCCCCCCCCCTTAGGGAGACTCTTTCAAAACCTGAAGTGACCCCGTGTCCTGTGACCCTCAGAGAGGTCAAGTGGTTTTCCCTGGGTCACAGAGCTCTCCTGCTGGTGGGTGGGGCCTGGGACCCCACTTCCCATCCCGAGCCACGAGCCATGAGCCAGCCACACGTGTGTCGGTGTCACCTACAAATCTCCATCAGTAAGTTTGCAGCCTTTATCTGGGTTTCCTTATTTTGGGATGGAAAACAGTTTCTTTTTTATCCTCATACACCTTAATTTCTGCTGTTTTGGTCTTGATCCTTTACTTATAAAGAAGTCACTGGGTGACCGTAGCCAGACTGGGTTTGCACCCCAGTTGATGGGCCCAATTGGGCTGTGAGGTGATGGCTTACAAGCTAATAAACTCAGGTCTAAATCGTTAAAGCCGGTAGCTTCTGACTCCAGCAGGGAAGGCTCTCCCAGGAGCGCCTGGAGGTGTTAGGTCGTTTCCTGCTAGTGCAACTTTACATCTTTGATCTTCCCTTTTCCGCCTCACCTCAGCGCACCTGAAGCCTGAGAATGTTCCTTTGCATTTCCCAGAAGCTGCCAGCCATCCCTGCACATTCCTCCCCCCCCTCTCTCTCCTCCCTCCCCCGCATCCCTCCATCCTTCCAGTTACTTCTCTGCACTGCTCTGGCTACTGTCCTTGGGGAAGCTTCGGAAACAGCCAGATTCTTATGAGTCTGTAGGCTGAAGGCATGCTTGCCGCTGTTCACTTACCCAGCACGGAACTTTGCCCGGAGAAGAAGAGGTTAAAAAAGAATTCTGGACCGCGAAGGGCTGTGACAACTGTCCTAGGGGGAGCTCTAGCGGGCCCTGGCGGGCAGTGACTCATGCTGCTCTGTCACTCCGAACAGCACTGGCCCCAGCCACGCAGGCGGCCAGGTGGGGTTGCAGCCAGAGCACGCCCCAAGGAGTGGGGAGCGCGCAGCCTGCACTGCGGGGGGATGTGATGCCGGCGCTGGCTTGCCAACTTCCCCCTGCCTGGTCCACTGCAGACGCTCTAGCCTGCAACCATGGTAACACTTCTGGCTGGAAATGCCCCCGGGAGCCCCCTACGATGGGCAGCCTCCTGGTGAAGGAAGGACAGCCGCTCACATCCCTTGAGTGAGACAGCCTAGTGGGTCGGCAGGCCGCGGAGACGATGTGATGACCCCCCCCAGCTGGGGGTCATGCCGTAAGGAGGTAGGAGCCCTGCCGCAGACATGCATCTGTGGGTCTCGGCGTCCCCCCTCCCCACCCCCATTGGTACTGGGTGCTGTAGATCACTGCAACTTTATTTGGCTGTTTTTGATTATCCTGACTGAACTGCGGTGGATTCAGTGGGCAGGGTTGTGCTGAGGAGAGATAAGGAACTAAAAGAAAGTGGTCAATTAGATCTCCAGGTGGACTCGTGGCTATGAATGAACCAGACTGACTGCAATGGTTCCAATGGCAATTCCATAGCCTCCCAAGCCCCCCCCCCCCGCACCCTCCCGGCCTGCCCTCGCCTCTCATTCTGGCCAAATCACAAGACACACTTGTCTTCCATCCAACAGTGGTGGACATCACTAACTATTAATCATTCAGATCTGTTTGGAAGAGGGGCTCAATGGGTGTAGGTCATCTGGCACCCTGGCATTAGCCAGCTCACATACAAGCCTTCCGGAAATGTCAGGCAGGCAGGAGCTGCCTGCTCGGGTGACTTGCCCAAGTGCTCTGTAGGAACCCAGTGACCTGTTTGAGTTGTCTTTTACTTTCCCCCTGCCTGGGAAGGCAAGCTGCCTGCCTGCGGGTTGGTGGCCATGTTGGCGGTGAAAGGGTTAATCTCTTGTTGCTGTAGGAGCAGAGGCTGGGTCTGCCTGCGCTAGGAGCTGGGTTGAAAGCAGGCGCTGCAGTGCCATCTCCAATGCTGAAGGAGTAAGGCGCTTTTTTCCCCTCCGCAACAGTGTGGAATTCGTCTGAATTTCTCTCCCCCCCCCCTTGTTTTTCTTTTAACCAGCTCCTCCCCCCTTCGTTCCCACCCTCAAGTCTGACGATGACACCTCCAATTTTGATGAACCAGAGAAGAATTCGTGGGCTTCATCCTCTGCGTGCGAGCTGAGCCCCTCGGGTTTCTCGGGCGAAGAGCTGCCGTTTGTGGGCTTTTCATACAGCAAGGCACTAGGGCTTCTTGGTAGATCTGAGTAAGTGACAATGTGACTTCTAGGGTCTTGCACGGAAGCTTGGCACACAGAGCCAAAGGTGGTGGTGTTGGTGGTGTTGGTGGTGTTGGTGGTGTTGGTGGTGGCGGCTGGCGGTGGTGGTGGCAGCGGTGGAGGTTGGGGGAGTGCAGCGGAGGGAGGGAAGCCTCTGAGCTGCCTGCCTTTGGTAAGCAGTCTACCTGTCTGGGGCTTGTGCGGCTAGACTGTCAGTGTTCTGTTTTGCATGGTGTGTTAGGTACCCGTTTCTGTCTGTGGCCAACTGGCTACTTTGGGCTAGTTTTCTCCACCTTTGGTCTTCTTTAGAGGGAGGAGAGGGTGGGAGATTTCTAGCCATGCAGCTCCTCTGTCAGAAGGGAAACCGTGTCTGAGTTAAACTGAGCTGTCCATCCGTCCGTGTACCTATCTCAAGAGGGTGGATGGCTGGTATCTCAGCTGTACTGGAAGGATCTTAAACGCCGTGCCTCACAAGCCAGAGGTTTCCTGATGGGTTTAACCGAGCTGCAAGTGGCTGAACCAGAGCTCTAGCTGAGAGATGATGCTCGGCTCCTGTCCAAGTATGCTGCAAGATCAGAGATCTGGCAGCCGAGCCAGCCGTTCTGAGCAGGGAGAGCCCTGACGGCCAGAGGAAGCCCCACTCCTGTGAGCCCCCAGGAGGGAGGGAGTGTGATGCAGCCACTGCCACCGACTTACAGAAATTGGGCTTCACGAGAGGGTGGGGGAAACAAAACCAAACCCTAAACAAACTAAGAGACTAGAATTAGAAATAGAAATGTCCCTGGGAATCATCCCCTAGTCTTATAGGAAGCATTTAGAAGATGAGGCAGCCTGGGGCTTGTTTGGAGGGACCTGCTTTCCAGATCCTCAGAATTTATGTGAAATGCACTCTCCTGGTATGTGGGAGCTTGATACCATTCTGCTTTCCAGGGGTCAGGTTTCCCTAGGAAGGTCTCAGACCAGCTATGTTGCCCTCCGCGTCCCTGGCACCCTTACGCTGAGGCTCTTAGGGCAATGTTGGGTAACTAGTTGCTGCCCACCTAGGAGAAGAACACATGTTTATTTGGGGAAAAAAAATTCTCCTTGGCAGATGGATTCATACCTGTTTGTTTGTTGTATTTGTAGCTTAGATATTGATCTGAAGGGCGATAGTATGGGTTCCTGGATGGTGTTCACCCCACAGGTACAATTTTGAGTTTCTTCAAAAGCTATCAGATTTTCCATTGAATTGAGCATCCGATGCATGTCAGGGGCTTTTTCAATGAAAGATGCCAAGGTGGGCTTCCTTTATTACCTCGCCTGAGGTCGGGTTTAAAATTACCTTGCCTAATGTTATGTTAGTATTATTAGATGTACCTTTCTTGCCGATCTGTTCCACCACCCAAGGCAGCCCAGAGGATGTTAAGAGAGGGCGAAAACCTAACCAGCTTGTTGAATGTGGCATCGGGCAGATTTGCACTGACCTAAGCAGCGCTAGGAGGTTTGGCGTCCTCATGGAGGATCCAGGAAGGAGTGGAGGCCCGATGGTGAAGGACACATAGTTAGTGAGCAGAGTAACCTTGACACAATCAGCACACTGAAGGTCACAGATCGGAGCAGATGTGCGGGCAGTTGCTGGTCTGGTTTCTAACGGGCTGGATGTGTTCGGAGAAAGCTGTCTGAGGGTATTGATCTGAAATAAGCTGGGAGGCCTCCGGGGAGTCAGGTCTTGGGGCAAACCGGGAGAGGGGTTGATGTACGAGAGCCCGGGCACTTCAGTTAATCTGAAGCAGAGTGTGATTAATTGCTTGTTGTTCAGGGAGACTCTAATTGCTGCTTTCTGCTTCTCAGAAAGCTGAGTAAAGGGGCATCTCAGCGTTAGGGCCCAGGCACCAGAGAAATATCTGTTGACTGACTTTAGTCACGGCCCCCTCCACCCTGGTGTGTTTGTGTTGTTCTCTGGATTTGGAGGTTTGTGGTCTCGCCTTTGGCTGTCCCCAAACATCTCTCTCTAGTGCATCATCTGAATGAGCTTCCTTTTGTGCCCCAACAGAACGTTTAAAAAGATCCTCATAAAAATAAAATTCCCTTCGACAAAGTCGTGCATTTGTTATCTGGAAGATGTAACTGGAGGCGTCTTATCTTTGGGGAACTTGATGCTTTTTCCATGGCAATTCAGGGCTGGAATTAGCAGCTTCTCCTCCATCCTCAGTCTCTCTCTCTCTGCCCCTGCCGTTGGACCTGGCTACTTTGCCAGAGGTGACTCAGTGGGTGAGGCCCATAGCCACATTTCTAAACTCCTATCCACCTGTTGGTTGTAGGGGACCCTGGGCATGTTGGACCGCAGTTAAACGGGAAGCCAGCCTAAGAGACCCAGGGATGAAACTGCTCAGCAGTTCCTGCAGTTTCCTAGCTGTGCAGTCACAGGACTCACAGCTCTGGGTGCCACCTTTGCCCTGCGGTGACCTCCCCTCTCTCCCTGGGTTTCCCTTCCCCTACTTCTCCTGTTCAGAGTCACGGGTTTTCATTTACAAGGCTGCTACTCGCTCTTCACACCGCCGAGGAAGAGACGGCAGATGCTAGCTCGTGCTTCGCCGGAAAACTGACCCCAGATCTGTTACCAGTGAACGGAACGAAACGTTTGAGCGAGGACTTTTGGCAGAGCCCGGGGCCTCGAGAACGATTCACGTTGCTGGGTTGTGGTTGTGGTTGTGATCCCTCCTCACATCTTAGAATCTTTCTTTCCCTCCTTTGGCAGGGGACCCCAGGCTATTTTTAAGCCAGCCATTGAGAGCATCGTTAATTTTAGGTTTAGCAAGAGGCCCAGCCTCAGCGTGTTGATGAATGAGGTTTAGGGGGCGTTCCTTGCTGCCCAAGTTTAGAGCAGGGGCGCTTGGTGAGAACCAGATTTATTTGGTTGGTTGTCTTTGGTGAGGTTTAACTTTGGAGAGAGAGCATCTATTCATGTACCCCACCCCCACCCCCACCCCCACGTGGTGCTGGACATTGACCCGAGGAGGGCCTTGTCCAGGCTAAGCAAGCACTCTGCCTCAGCGACTACTGAGCTGCCTCCCCAGCCCAACTCTTCCTTTTTGCTCAACGAGAACCCAGACCCGACTCCCGTGCTTGGCATCCCTGAGCCCCCATTTGCTTGAACTTTACGATAATGGGGTAGAAACAGACGTCATTAAGTGGAAGGTTTGAAACCACCGGGCTCCCAGCATCTTCCCTCTGTTGTCAGTATGGTGTGAGCGTCTTCACAGCCTTCCTCCTTCCTGGACTGAAGCACTGCCTCGGTATCTCTGGCCGAGTCAGAACATTCCTGCAAGGCAGTGTGATCTAGAGGAGGCTGGGCTTGTGGGTTTCTGTTTTTTGGGGTGAGCCGTCTTAGGAAGGACGCTCTTTCTTCCCTTTGTCTCTGGGCGCTTTCCTTGGAGCGGATCTGGAGGTACAAGGATCTGCCCTTCCCTTCAGAGCGGAGGAATGAAGACTTTCTGACGCCATCCCTCCTCCCAGATTTCAGGTGGCGGTTTTCGGCGCCTCTTCCTTTCCTGATTGGCAGTCCTTTGCATGGAAGTTTCCTCAGTGGTAACCAGGGATGGTTTCCTAAAGGGCTTCTAGGAGGACAGAACAAAACATATGAAGCATTGACAATTACCCAGCGCATGAAAAGACCTTAGTGTAAATATCTTCCGTTCTGTTTCTTTCTGTTTCTAACAAACCGGCCTACATTTATGTAGAGCCCTTCCATATGTGCCTAGAGGCTGTGGAAGGGACTCGGCAGTAATTGGGGAGTTCTGAGTCAGGCAGACCCAGACTCAGCCCTCCAGGCCTTGGGAGTTTTTCTTCTGGGAACACTTAAGCCTTCAAGCCAACTACTAGACTAACGTTCTGTCTGTCGTCAAGGGGTGTTGTTCTTTGTGGGGGAGTGATTAGAGGGCAGTAGGACAAGATTAAGTCCCGGACGGGCACTCTCCCATCCAGTTGACTGGTCTAAGCAGATTGGCTGAAACAGTTCATAGGACTGAGCAGGCAGACACCTTGGCTGAGGAACGGTAGGGTAAACGAGTGAGTCTTGAGCGAGCGAGTGCTGAGGAAGAAGCCAACTCTGCTTTCTCTTGCTGAACCAACAGTGATGACCCTTCCTGGAGTGCCTGTCTGCTCCCCATGCCGGCTGGCCCGCAGGGCGGGGGGGGGGGCTCATTGGTTCTCATCCTCCCAGGCATAGGAAGGCATGTGGCTGACCCTCACAGAACGTGCGTGCCGGAGTAAGCTCACCCTTACACCGATGGAACGTGAGCGTTAGGGGTCAGCTCTGTAAAAGACAAGCGGATTTGGGGGTTGGGGGTCAGCGGAGAGGAAGGCGGAGAGAGCTGCACGGGTCGTCAGTGCCCAGGCTTGCTCTAAGCAGCAGCACGGGCGCCCAGGAGGAAGGGACGGACACTGTTGTCCCCTCTGCATGGAGAGAACGTGGACTTGTCCACGGTCCACAGGTCCAGACGACGTGGGGCTTCAGTTTCTCTTGGCCACTTAAATGCCCCGGATGGGAGAAGTCAGGAAACGCTTCCAGGGTGCCCAAGAAGTAGCCGCCATCCTGGGGATGAGGAGCCATGGGATTGCGGGGAGGTTTGAAGAGAGATGACAAGCTGGTCATAACATCGCTTTTGTTTTTGGACTTGAAGGGTTTATTGAGTCAAATGGGTTAGTATACAGGTCTCAGGCATCTCAGACACTTAACCTGGGGCGTTAGTGCGTGTGTCTGTGTGCGTGTGCGTGTGTGCGCGCGCGCTCGAGCACGTGCATTTACAGCCATTCACATTCTGACTTGCTACAGAGAAGTTCATTGAGGTCAGGGAACGGCACTGACCCTGGTCTTCAGGCTGATTGTTCATAAGCTGCATGACACACATCCCAGAGGGTGATCCAAGTCATCCCGCTGCCCCTCCTCTACGTAGCGCAGGCTCAGCCTCCTGAGTACTGGGATTACAGGTGTGCACCGCGTGCCCAGT